GCCTCCCAAGTCAAGTGGAGGCCCTCCCCCTTAGGGTTTTCCCCTTCCCATGCGCATGGGCCTTGGGGGGCTGGTGCCCCTGGCCCATTAAGGCTAGGGCGCCCCCCTACAGCCCATGCTACTGTATTGGACGTGGTGGAACAATTTCCGGACCTCCGGACCCCTCCGGAATCCTCCGGAACCTTCTGGAAGCTTCCCGGTACAATACCGAAAAAATCCGAACTTTTTCCGGAACCCGAACAACAACTTTCCATATATAAATCTTTACCTCCGGACCATTCCGGAACTCCTCGTGACGTCCGGGATCTCATCCGGGACTCCGAACAACATTCGGTAACCACATACAAACTTCCTTTATAACCCTAGCGTCATCGAACCTTAAGTGTGTAGACCCTACGGGTTCGGGAACCATGCAGACATGACCGAGACGTTCTCCGGTCAATAACCAATAGTGGGATCTGGATACCCATGTTGGCTCCCACATGTTCCATGACGATCTCATCGGATGAACCACGATGTCAAGGACTCAATCAATCCCGTATACAATTCCCTTTGCCTAGCGGTATAGTACTTGCCCGAGATTCGATCGTCGGTATACCGATACCTTGTTCAATCTCGTTACCGGCAAGTCTCTTTACTCGTTCCGTAACACATCATCCCGTGATCAACCCCTTGGTCACATTGTGCACATTATGATGATGTCCTACCGAGTGGGCCCAGAGATACCTCTCCGTCACACGGAGTGACAAATCCCAGTCTCGATTCGTGCCAACCCAACAGACACTTTCGGAGATACCTGTAGTGCACCTTTATAGCCACCCAGTTACGTTGTGACGTTTGGTACACCCAAAGCATTCCTACGGTATCCGGGAGTTGCATAATCTCATGGTCTAAGGAAATGATACTTGACATTAGAAAAGCTTTAGCATACGAACTACATGATCTTTGTGCTAGGCTTAGGATTGGGTCTTGTCCATCACATCATTCTGCTAATGATGTGATCCCGTTATCAACGACATCCAATGTCCATGGTTAGGAAACCGTAACCATCTATTGATCAACGAGCTAGTCAACAGAGGCTCACTAGGGACATGGTGGTGTCTATGTATCCACACATGTATCTGAGTTTCCTATCAATACAATTATAGCATGGATAATAAACGATTATCATGAACAAGGAAATATAATAATAATAACCAATTTATTATTGCCTCTAGGGCATATTTCCAACAGCCACTTCCATCCCTTAGTTGTTTTTGACTTACATGAAAGTCAACCCATGAGTAAAAATGACACTGTGATCACTAAAGTCCCGTATAGCCAGCCAAGGTTCCTCGAGAATAAGGTGCAACATTGAGAGTATCTCATGAAACCACATCTCTAGTGGAAAAGGTGAAGACCAACACATGGACCATTGCATGTGGAGTAAGCAGTCTAAGTTAGTAGCCTATCTGTTTCACACACTTCGCAACCAAAAGCATGACTTGATCATTATGCTTACATGCATAATACCTTACATGTCTTCCTCCTTGTAGAGCAATGTAGCCCAAAATGTTTCACACTAGGTGCTTCAAGGAGGTTTAGGTGAGGTTGATTGAGATCACATAGTTTTAAAACTTTTGTTGCAGGTGTTTTTAGGTCACCTTTTCACTGATATGTTTGGTGTCTCGGTGAGGGCTTATAGAGGCAATTGGGATTTGACTAAGGCTTCTTATAAATTTCAAATATAAATCATGATACCACAACAAACTCACTGAAAGCTAGATAAAACCTCCACGAATAAAGAGTACGGTAAAAAATCTTAGTGAACTTTTCAATCGAGTTTCAGAATTTTTTTTTGAAATTTTTGTATGTCCAACGCATATTCAATGTTGGTATTATTTCGAAGACCTAGTTAAGAAATATATGGTCGTTTGGACAGTACTTATATGCATGGATCGAATGATTGGGGGAGCCACGGAGGTTCACTGCGAAATGATTATGTTGTTGTAAATGCAAAGACGAATGGATAGGATGGTGGTGAGATTGATCTTGACCAAACATTTTTGTGTATTGGATGTTAGTTTTCATGTTTTTAATGAATACTGGTTTTAACTGGGTACTTTATGTTATAATGTTATCAACATCGGATGGAAGAGAACGGACAAAGACATAGTTCATTTCACAACAATTTTAAAATATCCCTTTTATGAAACATATATTATTTGACAGAATTCATACGATCCTCATTTATAGAAGCCATCATGTAGGATGAAACGCCATCCACAGACACACCATCAGGAAAAGGAATTAAAATAAACATCACAATCTCGTGTGCCACTTTGTTAGAGCCTCTCCTGATTTTTCACCCAGCTAAACTCAGCCACAAAAAAAAAATACAAGTTGGGCGACCCTTACTTTTTTTAAAAAAAAATTGACCAAAGAGGGCGTCTGAAGAGTGATTACATAAAATAGGGTGAACAAATAGACAATCGGATTTTAGAATGTTTTAGTAAAGAATGACCGTGATGTAGAAGCCCGCAAAACACGCACTGGTGCACCCATAAATAAAATCCTAGACTATAATCGTTATCTTGCCTTCATTACATCCCCTAGCCATGATCCTAGACAAGCCGACTCACAATCTTCTATATCCAAATAGTTAGTTCCCATCACAAGACTTCTCGATACACATGTGTGCTTTCATGCCGCTTTAAATAGACATCCGATTAAAATTGTGTGATATTAGAAGTCATGCATGTATTCATAAGTTGCTTTTTTACATATTTTTTTGCGGGGTAAGTTGCTTTTATACATTAATCTACCCATGCAAACAATGTCAACCCATCAAGACATGCTTTTATGGACGGTGTATGTGTTGGAAGCCTGGAGCAACAAAGTTAGCACCCACACCGTCTCCCTTTTTTTAGCCCCTCTTCCTTTATTTATTTTTGAAGCAACACACGTTTGTTTCTTTCTTAGTCCAAGCGCGTCGTTTCTCTCCTATATAATAATTGTCGATCGCGAAGCAAATTCAGATGCGCACTCGTTTTAAGGGAACCTAGGGGCATGCACACGGTCACGCAGCAAAAGCTGCGGCTTGAATGAGTTGCCATGTTCTTGAGATGAGTTGAGTGACATGCAAGGGAGAAAAAAAGCAGGCATCTTTCCGTGCGCAAGGACATCATCGCCCCTTTTCTCCAAGAATCGGATGCGGCGACACCTCACATGAAAGGTACATCTAATCCGTTGGAGCGGGGTTATCTGAAGAAGAGCATCGCATTCCGTCCTTTTAATGCCCGTCAAAATCAAGCACGAGCCCTTCGTTTCTTTGGCGCTCCCGTCCCGTCCCGTCCCGTCCCATCCCCATCTACCTACCGTGGACGGTGCCAGAAGAGGACCAGTCACAACCTGCACTACACTGCACATGATCGCCTATTTAAGCTTCTCCTGTTCTCGCCCACCCCGCTCCACCCCATTCCCACTCTCTCCCAGCAGCGGCACGTCGTCATCTTCCTCCCCCTCGCCGTCCGCGTGTACGTCCAACAGGTGAGAGCTACAAAAGCTTCCAGCCTAGGTGCGCGTTTGCTTCTTCTTCAGGCGCCTGCCTAGGTTCACTTCCAGACGACGGTGGTGCTCCGTCGTGTCCAAATTTTCCGGGGGGTGTTCTTTCACGCCAGAGGACTACAGGTCGTACAGACTTTTTCAATTTAGCCCTACAGATTCCGTGAAATTGGTCCGCTGTTGTCGGCGCTGTTAAATCCGGCAACCCAAGCGGCTATTTAGCCCCGGGACACGGCCAGATGTTTCATGTCGCCTCTTGTTCGTTTTCTTCCTCCTCGGTGTCGGTGGCCTGTGGCCGTGGCCGGGTCGTCGCTTGTGTTCCCAACGAGGTTATAGGCCCCCGGCTCTGGAGATATCTTTCTTTCTTTATCCAACAAAAAAGACGCCGTTTGTTTATTTAAGTTCACAGCCCCGTCGTCTTCTTCTGGGTGCACGCCAGGTGCTTGTTCCTTTGTGCCAGTGGTTCTACTTGGGAGTGGTTCGATCTGCCTGCACCATTGCATTTTTTTTCTGCGTTTAAACTAGCTGAACATAGTCAGACTCTCTGGTTTGCTTGATGATTTCTCTATAAAAAGCGCCTCTGGCATTTTTCGTTTTTGAGCGGGTAATTTCCCTTCCTTTAGCAATACACGGTTACATTCAAAGATTCTGCATCTTTGTGAAAAAATGATTCTAGATTTCTTCGATTCCATCCTATCGCACCACTGGATGCAAATTTGCTCCACGTAGGGATCTGTGCTGTTTTGTTAGTTTTTTTGTTGTATAATCAAAGTTTCCAATCATGCCTTATCTGGACTTTCTGTTCCAGAATATATAGGAGTATATGTTAGGGGGCAGTAAATAGCATGATATAATTTCAGTTTTGCTAAAGCACATCTAGATGTCATATAAATTAATACCTAACTTTATTGGATTTTTTACTACAGCTTCATCAATCATTAGTAAACCAACCACATTCACAAAACAAGACTTGCACCAAATTAAGATCGCATTTAGTGCTCTGGCATTGCCCTACAGTAGGTGCAGAGCTGGTGTCATCATATCCATATGCCCTGTTGTCATTGGAACTTGTTGACTTTGGTTTAATTAAGTACTAGAGGAGTGGAAGACTGCTGAGAACTGAAATACGAGGGGAAATCTCTGATGTTCACTACCAACTAAAGCCTAAAACTGAGATAGTGAAAGCATGAGTACAGGGCGGTAGTTCAATTTGTTTCCTTTCATTCATGTTGATCGCATATAATACTAGTAGTAGTTTGCTTGAGAATGTCATGGTTAGCACCTTAGCTTTTGTTCCTCTTTCGTGGTTGTAAAGTAATTTTGTACCTTTTGTTGATTACCTAGTGAAAGAAAAGAAAAAATACCCAGCTGCTGTCTGTTTTTTTTTTCTTATTGTTGCCTGCCTTGTATTGTGCTGTTGATCCAGAGGCTGGGAACTTTAAAGCGGAAGAGGGTTCATGGAGGGTGGAGGCGCAAGAAATGTTTCTGCAGCGGCAGCACAGACAGAGGGAAGTGGGGATGATGGCTCCCGCAAGCCACTGCCTCCTTGCTGTGTCAAGGCGCAGGCTGCTGTGGCGGAATCTGAGGCCAAGTGCCACGCTACTGTGGTGTCCGGGTGGTTCACAGGAACCCGCTCACGCTCTGGTACGTATGTTCAGATTGGTGTTGTGTTATTGCATTTCTAGGAACTGTAAATGTAGAGGCATGGAAATTGTCTGCTCTTCTGATATTGAAAACCAATTTGATGTATGTTCAGGTAAACCAAGCAAAGCGCAGTACTTCAACAATCCAATGTGGCCTGGTATTTCCCTGATTCATGGTCCACCCATGTTATTTCACCATGTTTCCCCTCAAATAATCCTTTTGCAAGTGCTGTCCCTTTTACTATGAAAGTCGCAATTATTTCACAGATAAAAGTAATTCTAGAATGCTCCTAAACATCCAGATCTGTTGTAACCTTTTTCCCAGCAGAAACTGTAAGAGTGTTTGCTTCAAGGAACTGGATGGTAAATATACCATCGATCCTAGCTTTTAATGTAACCTACTTGTTTGGTTTGCGGAATGGAATGCGTTGGTCCGTCACCACCTCACTGGTAGAAAATAGCAAACGCTTCCCAGCAAAATAATGCAATGATTCCATGATGGAATAATCCATCCTAGGATGATATGGTAACTGAATGCCCCATATTCGTTTCACTTTTCTTGGCAATTCCTGTTTGTACTTAGGGTCGCATTATCCAAGTAGATTGGGACCTGAAAGATCAACATTTGTGTCCCTATTAAGATTTTTAGTACACTCCATCCCGTTCAGGAAAAAAGAGTAGACTGCATATTTGAAGTTATGAAACGGCATTATAGCTTTTACTGCTTGAGGTTCTTCGCACCATCTTGCTTCTCTGTTATGCTGGGTAACTTCTCTTGTGCATTGTCTATGAAAATTCCTTGGTCTCTACCCAGCATAGTACTGAAGTAATTTGCTTGCTTGAGCTGGTCAGGGTTGTAACCAGAATTACTTCTTCTATACAGGGGAGGCTCATTCGTTGAAAGTAGAGAAGATTTTGTACCAGGGGAAATCGCCATACCAAGAAGTTTTAGTATTCGAGGTTATTTTGATCTTCTAATTGTGTGCATGTACGTTGGTCTGAGTCTGCTGGACATAGTAATGTATAATGTGTTACATTGTGTATGCAGTCTTCAACCTATGGGAATGTCCTTGTGCTCGATGGAATTGTTCAGCTGACTGACAAGGATGAATGTGCATACCAGGAAATGGTCACTCACCTTGCACTGTGCTCAATTCCATCTCCTAAAAATGTATGTATTTTATTCTCAGCCATAAAATATGCTGTCAACTTATTGGAGTTATCATTTAAATTGACCTGGAGCATATACTCCAGGTACTACAGCAGACAGAATCTTCTTTTTATGTGCAGTTACTGAATTATTTAGAGTTGTCGCATAGATTCTTCTATAAAGTCGCTGAAATCTTCGTACAAAAAAAGATTCACTTTACTCTCACGCAGGTTTTGGTTGTCGGGGGTGGTGATGGTGGTGTACTACGAGAAATAGCCAAGCATGATTCAGTGGAGACTATAGACATATGCGAGATTGATCAGCTAGTTATTGATGTAAGAACCATCTCTTGATTTTTCTTTAAAGTGTAATAATCTGAATAACCGTATTCTGATCTATGCCTTCAAATCGATGCAGGTTTGTAAAGATTTTTTCCCACGTCTGTATGTTGGATATAAAGACCCTCGTGTCCGACTTCATGTTGGTGATGGTATGTTAAGAAGTTAAGAAGTTGTTAAGCTGGTGGTATTCCGTATAATGTTCACAGATCAAAGGGCATAATCCCCTTTTTTATAGCATCTCAAACTTGGCGTCATGTCTGTTGACTGCTGGTCTTGATTTTTGTAAATTTCATAGCAAACTTGCATTGGTTTTGCAGCTGTGGAGTTCTTGAGAAATTCTCCAGAAGGAAAATACGATGCCATTATTGTTGATTCATCAGATCCAATTGGTGAGTTCTTGCTATTACTACACCATACCTGCAGCCCTTCTATTTTAATTAAGGAGATCAAAATTTCATTCCTGTAGGGTTGACTTACATGATTCTTTTGTTTATATACTTGAAATTTTCTTTCACGTCACATTTACAGGGCCAGCTCAGGAGCTTGTGGAGAAGCCCTTCTTTCAGACAATTGCTAGGGCTTTAAAGCCTGGCGGTGTTCTTTCTAATCTAGCTGAAAGTATGTGGCTGCACACACATCTAATCCAGGATATGCTTTCTATCTGTCGGGAGGTATTCAAGGGTGGCGTGCACTATGCCTGGGCGAGTGTTCCGACGTATCCTAGGTTCTCTACTTCTCTGCATCATCTGTTCTAGCCTTTTCTAACTTTAACTTCTATGTATCCATTTCTTGTTATATTTTATGCATGCATATTTCAGGTTTTATTTTATTGTTCAGTTTCTGCTCTCAAATACTTAGAAATTAGCGTATTTGGGAATACAAAGTCACACCCAATTATATCGTAGTACTACCTATGAAGCATTCCTGAAAATAATTTATGACAAATACAGTCCACAGTTGAGATAATACGTGCTCATATTATCCTCAAGTACAGAATGTAAGTTTTCATCTATATAGATATGTTGCTGCCAAGTTGAAGTGGCTGTTGTTGGCACTAAAAGCAGTGTAGGCAAAACGTCCTGAACTTTGAGCTAATTTTCTTGAGGTTGAGCAGAAGCTGAAGAAAAAGCATCAATCATTTGAGATACTTATTATAGCTACTGGTCTTCATGTGCCAACTGAATGGAGAAATAGTTTGTATGTTAGCCAATTAGCATAATGACCCTTCCTAGTTCTAGGATACTCCTTACCACCATCTCCATTTTAGCAGCTGGACTCTGCTCACGTATATTAACTCTCTTTTTTCTTTCCTAACATTTGGTGGTGCAGAGTATAAGTAATTTATCAGTTAGCTGTAGCTGCCCATTGTTTAGAGTTATATGCGTACCCATTTCATATGTATATGCTAACCATGTAAATACTTGAATTTGTAGTGGTGTCATTGGATTTTTGCTATGCGCGAAGGACGGTCCACCGGTGGACTTCCTGACTCCTGTGAACCCAATCGAGAAAATTGAAGGAGCTACTAAAGATGGACGAGAGATGAGATTTTACAATTCAGAGGTTTCCCCTTCTGCCTTTGACAACCTCCCTGTTTGTTGTTCTTTTGCCTAAAAAGATGCTCTTTATTGCCACTATTGAATTCATACTCTAGCCAACTCATCCAAAAGTCCGAACTAACGGAGGGAGGCTGGCAATATATTTCAACACTCCCCCCTCACGTCTAGGCTATTTTAGTCCTTAGACGTGGGATCGATGTAGGCCGCAGAATCGTTTTATTTAATACTGCGTTGGTAGGGTTTTGAACTCAAGACCTCTTGGCTGTGATACCATATTGTATTTATACTCCAGCCAACTCATCCAAAAGTCCGAACTGATGGAGGGAGGCGGGCAATATATTTCAACAGCCACAACAATGCAACACTTTCAATATTTATTTTGCGGTGCAATAGTTAGGCATCAACTCGTTTTTTACTTGTTCATAACAGATTCATAGGGCTGCTTTTATTCTGCCAACGTTTGTAAAGAGGGAGCTGGAGGCATATAGCACTTCCACTGAAAAGGTAAGTTATATAGTTACTCTTCCCTTGTCTGCATTTTGTTTCTTTACAGTGTTTTGTAATTTCATCCTTCACAAACAGGGAGGGTCTAGGCTCCCACTGATGTGGCAATTATATATAGTTTACAAACTAAATTTGAATTAACATGCAAATGAGTTTATCGATCTACAGATTATGGATTTGCAGAAAGAAAAACCTGCAGACTAGTAAATTCAGATTGTTGCAATGAAGAACTCATTGGTCCTTTTGCTATTTCAACCCATGACAGGAGAAACCGGAGAAGCCAACGGCAAAACCAGTGAAGATGAAGGTAATGCGGGACAGCGCAATTACCGCTTCCTAGACCGCCTGTATGCTATCCATCTTCCCCTACGAGACCCGCCGCGCTGTATATCCATGTTCCATGCCTGTCCTTTACTACCAGGTTTTATTTCAGTAGTTACATGATTCTGTGGTGCTCTAGCATAGTTGCGTGGCAGAACTGAGAACAGAATGTCACTGGGTGTGTATGGTGTGTTACATTTGGTGAATAAAGGAGCGAACAAAAGTGAATGTTTGATGCGTTACCCTGATCTGTAACATGTATGATGTTTCATTGTTACGTGGACTCTCGTGGTTCAAGTACCCGGACCCGCTTTGTTATGAGCTTCTCACATACCACCTTTGTTTTGTATTATAAGATGTTTTGAATATTTTTAATAAATACTACTCCTGAAACTACGGACTGAACGAGTAAAAAAAACACTAAAATGCGTCTATATACATCTGACTGATAAAAATTAGAACATCTTATAGTTTGAAAACGGAAGGAATACTAGCCTATACGCGCAAAAACTAAGCATATGATGTATAGACTATATAGCTAAAAAAGTGTGACAGGCCATATCGTGGCAATGAACTGAACACATAATGATGTGCAAATAACTAAAGTTAGATGATGTGGCAACCGAGAGCTGATTTTCTAGATCATGGTGCACTCGAACCTACGCTCAGCGCGGTCGGATCCATTTCTATTTTCATGGGGATCTGTGCAAGTTAATGTTGTGCAAACCCTATGTGCAAGTTAATGATTCTTGTGCTAGGTCTTGTTCGGGACCCATTTCTTCATAGCATTATAGTATTAAACTGACACACAACCCTAAGCTACAGTGTCAGTCCGGTCCACGAGAAGAACACAAAGACATATTTTTATCCTTTGGTGTCTCTCCTATACTAAGCACCGTACATTCTCATATCTAGATATATATTGTAGAAAATATTGTACTATATTTTCAGTCTCAAAAGTGATAAAAAGTTGTGTGAAGACCATGATTTTTCTATAAATCGGTGCAGATCTTTTTAAAAAAAATGATCAATTGTGCATGGGAGCTTTTACCAAAAATCCATGAAATATTTACGTTTTTTAGTAGTTTTAGTAAATGAACTTACTGCTACAAAAGCCACAAATGTCAATGGGTACTTCATCGTGAAAAAACGCAAAAATGTAAACAATCTGAGTGTACACAGAACGAGGAACCAGGAATAAAATAAAGCATTGAAGACTGTACTAGAACTCCAGGATGTTGAATTTTTTAACACCTACGAATTCAAACGTAGACTGATTAGCATCTTATAGGTCTCTTGATCACTTGTGCATGGTTCCTGAAACAATTTAATTAGCTTGTATCTCGAAAAGGTTGTCAGAGGATGTATGGCAGTGGGTGTAGGTTCCGGTGCACCATGGTCCCAAGCAACATTTTCGTCAGGGCCGGCCCTGGGGCATGGGCGGTGGGGCGGCGGCCCAGGGCCCAGGCGGGAGGGGGGCCCATGATGTAGTACATATACATACTAACGCCCAGCAAAAAAATGGTAAAAACGAGATGGGCTAGGGCGCGAGGCCCATGCGATCGATTACGAATCGTTACGCTAGCGCCAGCGATCGATACCGGCTGCTCATCTTCTTTTCCTTCGTCTGGAGTCTGGACGGTTGGCCTCTAATCTCTTCGTCCTGCCTGCCGCTCGGCGCTCAGCGCCTTGCCGTCTCGGCCGCCGCCGGCTTGCCGCTGCGCGCGCCGCATAGCAGTCCGATAACTCAAAGTCTGCATCGAGCCAACGAGGTAATCCATGATCTATTCCATCGGTCAGTTTCTTCAGCCCGTATATGTATCCATGATCGATCCATGTTCCTGATGACCTGATCCATCCCCCCAGATCCCAATTTGACAATTTCAGTAGTATGTACGTATTCAACTATCCACATGTATGTCTAGGGTTCCAATCATCCGATTATAAATTCTTAATTCTTTGTACCCTCTTTTCTTCATGATTTTAGGACATTATCCTGCCATGTTGCCTAAGAAGAAGCAATTGTTGGTGCTGAAAAAAGGAGAAGAAAGAAAGGAAGTATTATTGCATCAAGAAACGTCCGAAGAAACTTTTTTGAAGCATTGAAGTATTATTGTTGTCGATGGAGTCAGTTGAATTTGGTTCTTATTTGAGGTAATCATGGTATGTTAGTTTTATTTTGCCATCTTTTTAGTATTATTGTTGTCGATGGAGTCGGTTCGAATTTAGTTATTATTGCTGTCGGTGGAGTCAGTTGAATTATTATAGTCAAATTTGGTTGAAATTTATATAGGGGCCCATGTCACCGAGTTCGCCTAGGGCCTTCCAAAACACAGGGCCGGCCCTGATTTTCGTGTGGCAACCTTAATCCACAAACCAAGCATGCCCTTACTCATGTTGATTGCGCCGATAAGGAAGAGCTACACCGCTCCATTTTCAATCATTGAATTGCCTCATGAGGATAAATCGTCTTTAACAATTTATTCGTGGTCACATTCTACCTTGCATCAGAACAGTGGTTCTTGTTTTAGGTTGTGAAATATATTTTATTAAGTACTTCTTGTTTCTTAAATTGTAGTGAACTTCAATCAAATTTATGGAAAAATCATCATGAAATATATTTTCATACATTATATATTTCATGTTGTAAATATTCATATCTCTGTAAACTTGGTCAAAGTTACGAAGTTTGATATTGCAAAATATATAAATCTTGCAGTCACCTTTTATTTTCGCAAATGTTAACGCCCACACGTGTGGCACGAAGCAACATGGCCCAAACGTCTCCATTACCATTCATTTTATCACGTCAAAACATATGACATCAGCAAGAATCTATTTGGTTTTCGGTTTAAAAATGTTTTATTTTCTAATTAAAAATCCGTTTTCACCATTAAATTCCTCTCGACGAGATCTTCAAAACTAGATCTCATGTTGGTATGTTTCGACAAAAAAGAATTGGCCAAAAGTTGCCATAATGGTTACACTGTAGTCGTCATAGTGTTTACACTAAAGTTGCCATATGGCAATTTTAGTTTTTAGAGCATGACAATTTTAGTATTTTGACCATGGCAACTCCAGTGCTTTAACCATGAAAATTATTTTTTGTATAAACCATGGCAGTTTAAAGTGCATGCATCATGGCAATTTTAGTTTATGGTTCTTGGCAAGTCTAGTTTCTTAATTATCTGTTTTGTAATATGTCAAAATTTATTTTTAAATGTAGAAGAAAATAGCTGAAACATATCATGACAACTTCAGTGTAAACATCATGGCAATTCATGTGCAATAGACATGACAACTTTTAAACCCCAAAAAAGTCATCGAAACATATTGATATGAGATCTAGTTTCGAAGATCTCGTCGCGATGGATTTAATGGTGAAAACGGATCATCAATCAGATTTTTTATTTAAGAGATAAAATATTTTAAAAACTGGAAATCCAAAAAGATTCCCACATGGATGCATGCGGTGATGTGGCGCAGTCTGTGTGTTATAGGGCGTGTAGGCGGATGCCGCTCCCACCACACGTGTGGGGGTTATCAGTGTCCTTTATTTTAGAAACACAATACAGATGCAGACGAAACAAGCATGCATACTCACTCATATGCGTGCACACGCGCACACTATACCCTATGAGCATCTCGAAGACACTGAGCCGATAAATCTTGAGAGAATGGTGAAGTTGCCATAGGCACCTCATATTCGACAGACAAGTAATGCCACTCAAAGAATAGCCCGGGGATGTACGAGGCCATCTCTTGTGATTCGCGAACACATAAGACCTAGCCACCTCCAGCTTCTCCAACCCCTCTCATCGCCACCGGAGGGCAAAGCGTGTGTAACGACGACAATGATGGGGAGGATCTGTCCACAGGGGAGTTTGACGCGACGGAGGTGGTCGGCTACGACGAACCGAGGATGGTGGCATCAATCGTTTTAGACCGGCGACACTTACCGACAATGTTGCCTGTGCCAGTGACGTCCAAATGTCCCTGGAGACGGGGTCCTAGATAGCGGCGGGCTCGCCCTCTAGCCTGGTTTTGGTGTACAATGGCGTGGGCATCTTGGTTTAGACTGATTTCGGGGAGTCTCTTTGTCTTGGTCGAGGCGGCGGGCTCAACCTCTAGCTCGGTTATGGCGTACAAGGATGTGGGCGTCTTGGTTTAGACTATTTTTAGGGAGTCTTCGTGTCTTGACCCGGGGGGCTGTGACGCCCGGATAATCAAGCTACAGTAACCCTCTAGTAATGCTGCCTTGTCACCACTGTTACTGTTGTTAATCTCGCGTTAGATCGAAACCGGTTCGAATTCAAAATTCAAAATCAGGGAAACAATAAAAGTTTTCAAACGTTAAAACTAAAATTGTTAAAAATGGGACAACTAAATCCTAGGTAATAATGGTGGAGAAACCACACTTGTATAAAATGCGTAAATACTCAAAAATGAATAAAACAACAGCAAAATAAATTAATTAAATGCCTTTGTATTTTGTAAAATACTAAACTATTTTATTTAGCTGTCCAAATTAATGTGGCAGTGGTATATTTAACATACTACATTTAGGTGTTGTTCTCACATTCTATAAAGTTGAAATAAATTAAAATTTTAATAAAACAGAAAAGAAGAAATAAAAGAAAAGAGAAAATAGAAAACAATAACTAAACTAAAACAAAAAAAGGACCCTCCCCCCCCACGCTGGGCCTCAACCCAGCTGGCCATCCAACCGGGC